TATATTATTTGTTTAATATAATATAATATATATTACATATTTAGTATAATTTATAAAATGATGTTTGTATATATATAAATGAAGTTAGATATTCAACATAAGTTGTGTTGGCTCAAGTTGTTCATAACCACTTGTTTTATATAAGAGGTACAAGGTTCGAATTCTCCCATTTGCATATATTTTTGCAATTTTGTAAGCCTGCCACGTGTCGCAATTTTGTAAGCCGTCAGCTTTCCGTTAACGGCCGTTAAAATCGTGTACCATTTTGTCAAAAATGTAAAGGTCATGTATTTTTCTGACAAAGTCTGAAAGTCGTGATTAAATTGCCAAACACGTAAAGGTCGTGTTAAAACCTGCCATTATGCCTAATTTTAAAACACACTTTTATGTCATGATATTATGAACATGTTTGTGAACTATGTGTGTTAAGTACTTATGTGACATAGGTCGTTAGCTTCCGCTTTATCAGACTTATTAGAGATTATGGGACTTATGACTATGCATGTTTAATTCCAGTCTATGGTACCTTATTCCGAATGGATTTGATTTGGTGGCATGTATGATTGATTATTTGTCTAAGTCCCGTAAAGAGTATAGTAAGCGAGTTTTTACAGGTAGCATCCCGCGAGATTGATAAAGTGTTTTGAAAAAAAAAAGTTAGAGTTTTTCAAAAAAAAAATTACACTGATTTTTATAACTCTAAATAGTAGGCAGGGTGTTACAGTATCTGTTGCGCTGAGTGCGATGACCTGCAGCGCTTCTTCCTGCACACCAAGCGCATCCACTGATCGCCAGAGACTCGTGAATAACTCACGCGTCAGGTCACTACGATCCTCGTGTTTGGGCAACCTCAGCAACAAGATGTCAGGCATCTGTGCATGCTCGTTCAGCCTCGATGGTCGTTTGTGGATTAAACGAATCCAGTCGGGTTGTCAAGTCTACATGGGCCGTCTTGATCTCCCGTTTAATTCGCACATGATCATGATAAAAATATAATAAATTCAAAAATTATAATTTTGATCCTAGATCCATAGATGTGTTTACATGTTTGTCTAATAAACTGAACAAATCTATCATGTGTCCCACCGGGGAAATAATTATTACAAACATTCAACTATCATCTTCGACATGCCCGAGGTTTTAAAAAGCAAAACCACGCATTAAAAATTAAAATGTTTCACATCAAGCACATAAAAATCACATATGCCATAATAATGGATTATACTACTGCAAAACCAAGTTAGGCACATACACACACACACACACACATACACACATACACACACACACACACACATATATATATATATAATCTAATTTATAGTTGTGCTTGAACACACATAATTCAAGTAGCCTTCACTTTGCACAAAAATGCGTTAAACGTGTGCTCTGATACCACTTGTAGGAATCTATAAAGAGTGTCGTTAATGTGCAAGTTGCAAATTTAACTACAAAAATACCAATACACATCAGGTCTATAGGTAAAAGTAGAAGACTCACGGTTTATTATTTTTGTTGACTCTGAGAAGTTGTAATGAACAATAAATTTCTCTCTCAACTTGGAAAAGAAGTTCTAATGAACTATGTTCTCAATGATTTACATGTATTCACTATGTCATGTTTTGTTCTACCCAAGTCTCTTTGTTAGGATATTTCCAGCATTTGTGCCAAGTTCTGGTGGAGCAGTGGAGGTGAGTAAACTCCTGGGGTTCACTAGAAGAAATGGCAGGTTATCACTCTTCCCAAAGTGCTTGGTGGGCTAGGATTCAATGACCTGAAGCTCTTCAATGAGGCCCTTATATTGAAACAAATATGGAGGATAGTGGTGTAGCCTTGTATCTATTATTATTATTATTATTATTATTATTATTATTATTATTATTATTATTATTATTATTATTATTATTATTATTATTATTATTATTATTATTATTATTATCATTAGTATGGGTTAATTGCTAAATAAACCTTAATCTTTTTGTGTTTGGCAAATTTATCCCAATTTTTGGGTAATTGCAATATAATCTCGACCTCAATTTACTTCTTGGAAATTTGGGTGCAGAGTGATTGATTATAGGGATTTGTGGACCGATTTTGTGTCCAAGTCTTCCATACACGGGTTTTTATGCCATCCACGTAGCAAGTTGACAATTTCCATGTATTTAATGTATATCCACGCACAAAGCCGAAAATTCCACGTCGATGTAAGCTACTGATGATGAGTATCCTCCTAGATCTGGAGTGAACCGATAAATATGAGCTCCGATCTATTCGGACCGCCTTCAATTCGACCAGTTTTTTTGCAGGTTCGACCGGTTTTAGGTTCGACTTGCAATAAGTAAAATGAGGTCTAGATTATATTGCAATTACCCAAAGATTGGGATAAAATTGCCAAACGCAAAAAGGTGAAGGTTTATTTAGAAATTAACCCTATTATTATTATTATTATTATTATTATTATTATTATTATTATTATTATTATTATTATTATTATTATTATAGGTATCTTTGAGAATAAGTTAGGAATTTAATATTATTATTTAATATATAATAAGAGATCTTATCTTGTTGAACAAGTTGGAAATAGGGTTTCGGAGCTTTATATAAAGGAATCTCTCTAGTTTATTTTCTTTGGTTGATTATGAATAAAATATTAATTGATATCGTAAGGTATTCTTGAGATTGCGATCTCATTAATATCGTCCCACTCGTACTCTTTCCTGCATCAGTTGGTATCATAAGTCAACACGATTCAGAATAACGCCGCGAAAGGTCGACATCGACGAGCGTGATGCCACCATTGAGTATCCGAGTCGACAAGCCGCAGGCTTCAGACGGCTCCACAGTGGAGTCGTTCTCTCTTGTCTCGACTGCTTCCTCCGAGGTGGGTCCCTCTACGCCTTCGAGTACGGGGTAACTCCCTCAACATTCCTCGCCAAAATCCATGGCAGCACGTGCACCACCGCACCCTCCGACTCGCCCGGGTCCGCCATCCACCGAGCCATGTATTTGCTCAGCAATGGCTTTGGGAATTATGACGTGTTCCTTAACAACTGTGAGGGTTTCGCCCTCTACTGCATGACGGGCCTACTGACAGTTGACAGAGCCGGGGTGGGGAGGAGCGGGCAGGCTTCGTCTGTGATCGGGGCCCCGCTGGCCGCCCTGCTCTCGTCCCCACTCAAGCTGCTGATGTCGGGCCCAGTTGGGGTGGCGGCAGCCACAGCGGGTGTGTACTGTGCCAGCCGCTACGCAACCGATATTGGGGTGTGGAAAAACATGGTGAAGGTGGCGGTGGAGGACCTGGCTGTGAACCTTGGGTTGGGAGACGATGGCTTGATCACCGTGGATTAGGTAAGTAAAACCATAATTTGAAAATGTGTGTTTGGTTTTTGTGGGATTGAAATGTGGTGTTACTTTTAAGTGTGTGTTGGTTGGGAATATGATCATCTGTTTGAGATTGAACCTCACTGAGGTGCACCACCTAGGTTCGCCCTTTTATGGTGGACTTCACCTGCGTCAGACTGCACCCTCTTGCCCCGATTCTATAAATCTAATACAAATCGAACCCCAAATTAAGGAGACAGTTTCAGAATTAAAAGGGAAGCTCAAATTTGCAAATACTAAAATTTGTTTGTTTGTTTGTTTCCAGCTAAAATATCATGAACATTCTGTTCTAGTGGATGCAAACACTTCAAACTCACCCGCTTACAGACGCGCGAATGGGGACATGTGAATTTTTCTCTTGAGCATCTTATGAGTTTTTAATGTTGCCTCTTATAAGCAGGCTTTTCAGTTCATGGATGACATAATATGTACAGATCACATCCTTTCTACCAATAACGATGTTACTGTTACCCAACGGTACAATATCCAGTAGCGTGACAGCAGGGGCGGATCCAAAAATTTTGTTGAGTGTGGGCCTAAAACTATTTTCGAGAGATGGCACAGAGGTATGAAAAGAAAATGTAATTTTCATTTTTTATAATTGATTTATAAAAAGATATAGATTATATTTTTAAACTCATAGATATAATATTAAGTTCTTATACTCAAAATCTTTTACGAACTAAAATTATTGTCGAATTTAAGTGAGTCATAGCATGAACCTTATACACTATAGAGATAATAATAAATCAGAAAAATAAAGAGATTGGATCGAACTGGTTGGAGTTGAAACTAATTACTTGATCATTTTGGTTTGAACCGGTAAAAAAAGGTCGAAACTGGCCAATTGGATGGATTTTATTTTTTTCCTTTTAAAAAATAAGTTCTGATAATTTAAATATATATATTTCAAATAAATAAAAATAATTATGTAAATATTGAATTTATTATCTATAAATTATTATATTGATTAGATTAGACATTTCAGTATTTTAAATTATCTAAATGTTTAATTAAGATAAATTTTATATATAAAAAAGTCGATTATTTTAAGTAATATATATTTATAAATATTAATGTATTAAGTACCCATTCAAGTATTGACCAATGAACTTATAGCTTGATAGAGTTTGGTTGTTAATTCATAAACAAATATACATATAATAAATAAAAGTAATTATGAAGTGAATAAAGAAATAAAATCAAATGCACCAAGTGGTTGGAAACAAGTATGTTGACATCATTTTCAGTAAACTGAATTAGGCGACGTTGACCACTTGATTATGTTCAGTAGAAGGATGATTGAAGTCGTATGGAGTAGGTGATGCCTTAACAGATCTCAAGGTTCTGACGTTAATTTCAAGGCAATCACTTGTCGGGTAAAATTCGTTAAGAAACCAACATCGTCGTCGATTGACCGATATCTCACGTCGGTTATGACATGTCGGTTACTACATGTCGGATACGACATATCGGTTATAACTGCTCGAACCGATATCTATGACTCGCTAGACCGATACCACAAGGCGGTGCCAACTCAGCATAACTCATCATTACACCTGGCCAAGTGGCACGTTATTAAGATGAATGGCAATTAGCCGCTGTTGACTATTCTTGTGTAATGATTACATATTAGATAAATGTTGTAAATAAATATAAAAGGAGAAAACAGTTCTCCAAGCCGGTCAAGAAACGTGTACAATAATATTCAAAAAAATTCTATCTCCTTTCGCCGCTCATACAAGCCTTTATTGCTCTATCTTAAGTTTATTACAAATTCATATCGATTATATTGTTGTTAATTCTCGTTTGACAACAGTTTGGCGCTAGAGGAAGGGCCATCACGTTTTGAAGTTAACTTTCGCTGTTAAAGCCATTTTCACGCTCGAAGCCATCATGTCGCAATCTGGTCGAGACCACATAACTCATCCTGGCCAGAGCCAATCGACTAACCATTCTCTGCGGCGTGCAACACCACCTCCTCCGGTCACGAACATCACGAACTTTCTTCAAAACCCAGAGTTTATTCAAGGTTTAACCTCGTTAATAACTCGAGCCATACCCAGGAACTCGAATACGGTACCGTTATCGATGCCGTTAACCACTAATCCAACAGAGCATCCAACCCACACTCGTCATGACCCTGAAACACATGCGGCAGCATCTCGTGCTACGTCGCAACCTCACCATACTTCTCCACGTCGAGAAGAGCTGACTCGTGTAACTGTTAACCCAATAACGAACAATCAAGCCCCGGAGGAGCCCCCTGTGCAGGAGATGACTGCTGAAAGTCATTCTGCTCATCACCAAAGAATTTCGCCACGTCCTAGACCCGTTTCATCAGCACCTCACGCTCGTGAGGATTTGCGGCGCCAAATTGAACGGAATCGTCTTTCAAGACATAGTGCGGAGGAAATTGAAACTCTTCGTAAACGCTTGGCTGAACTTGAGACACGACAGAAGTCGCAGGAAGACTCTCCCCGACATGTCACGACGTCGGGAAATGTCATTATCGAGGCGGATTCCCCTTTAGCTCCCGAACTTACCGCAGAGGCACTTCCAGCTAAGGTAAAAATTCCACAAATTGGCATGTATGATGGGACATCTGATCCGGATGCCCACTTGGGCCATTATACATCCTGGATGGATTTGCATGGTGCTTCAGATGCTTTGAGATGTCGGATGTTTTCGCTTACACAGGGGCCGCGAGCACAAAAATGGTACTATACTCTCCCACCTCATTCAATTTGGAAATGGCAACAGTTACGCGCAGCCTTCCGATCGCACTTTATCGGTGCTCAAATTTGTCTCATTCCGAAAGAATCAATTACCAACATTGTGCAAAAGGACGACGAGACTGTTAAAGACTACATGTCTCGGTTCAACGACCGAATTCAGAACATAGAGCCTTGCCACCCTGAAACCTTGTTAGTAACTGCCATTGCTGGACTGAAGCCCAACTCAATGTTTCGTTGGACCTTGTGTCAAAATAAACCTGCTACGTTTCAAGAATTTCTTGTGCAAGCTCAACAATTCATTATTGCCGAAGAATCGATGTCGATTCCCAGTTTCGACTTCTCGGTGAAAGAAAGCAAGACTGAACCGGACGCCAAAAAGAAGAATAAGAAGAACTTTGGGAAAGCACAGTTTCGGAACTCCTCCAAAGGATATGAAAATACTCCAGAGTCTCGGGCTGCTCGTGATCAGTATTCAGACAACGTCAGGACAGGCTATCATGTCGTTTATTCCGCCAGAGCAGCCACTATATATGAAGAACTAAAAAGAAAAAGGATTATTCCAGACCCAAGGCCTGTGAGAACCCCTGAAGACAAGCTGGACAAAACTCGATACTGCGCGTATCATAAATCTCCGGGGCATAATATCGATGAGTGTCTCGGCCTTTTATCAGCACTCTTACGATTAATTGGACAACCTCAGCTTCAAAAGTTTCGAAACTTTGATAATCGCCGGAAGGAAGGCCTTTGGATCTTTCGGATGATGAAGAGGATGATAACCGACCTGTTAACAGAAAAGAGCTCGCGCAAACGATAAGGAGGTTTTCACGTTTTCTCCTCATGTCGGAACCTCGACTGATAACTGCAGGAAGTCCAGGATACATGACATCTTAGACTCTTCACACTGCATACCTCGAGTCAATTCCAATAACAAGCAGTTAGATACTTCTCGACGAAAAGTCAAAGCCTATGCCCGGGAGGCACAGAATGCCGAGAAACGAGTCATGAATGTTGATCTTCGAGATACCATCAACAAACGAAATTGTCCTATCACATTCAGTATCGAAGATGCCAATTTATTTGCTCATCCTCATTCTGATGCTCTTATTATAACGGCTCCGATAGGGGGGATTCCTGTTCATCGGATTTTGGTCGACACAGGAGCTTACTCAAGTATTTTGATGCTTCGCACGTTCAAAAAATTAGGTTTGGACCCGGCGGACATTAGGCCTTGTAACGACCAAATTCAAGGCTTCAATGGAAGTATTTCTTGTCCTATCGGCGAAATACTACTTCCCATTCGGTTTGGCGGCTTTGGACCAAAATCCAAGATCATTATGGAGACCTTCAAAGTCTTGGATGTCCAGAACGAGTATAATGCCGTAATAGGACGAACTGCACTTTACAAACTTCGTGCTGCTGTGTCAATTTTTCATTATGCTCTGAAGTTCCCCACCATTGAAGGGGAAGGCACTCATTATGGAGATCAACGAGAAGCCTGAAGTCTGATGTTGCTCTCAACCTCGTGTAGCTTTCATATGATTGAAGAACAGGGTCCTCATAACTCCGTTGAGCTGAACAATTCAACTTTTAATGCTGAAAGAACCGATTAGTTCATTCCAGATACCGACATGCCTCGAGCAGATACCGACATGCCTTCTACGGATACCGATATCCCTATGACGTCGGTTTTACCTGAAACATTAACTGAAGTCCTTGATCAAGAACAACTTTTTCATGAGAGGGACACAGAAATGTACGAAGATATGGACCCACGGATGCAGTTCAAGGATGGAAATCATCATGTCCGAGCGGAACCAGTTGAAGATGTCGAAACCATTTACGTGGATGGATCGACTCAGCAAAAATCATTGCGGATTGGAGCTAACCTTCAAGAACCCATTCGATCAAACTTAATTCAATTCCTCCAGTCAAACTCCGATGTGTTCGCTTGGAAGCATGAAGATATGAAAGGAATTGACCCGCAAAAAGCATGTCATCGCTTGAATTTGGATAAAACTGTCAAGCCTGTTATCCAGAAACGCCGGAAATTCGGCCCGGACCGCCAGAAGGCCCTTGAAGAGGAAATAAACAAGCTCATAGACAATAAGTTCGTCAAAGAAGCCAAATACCCGACGTGGATATCGAACCCTGTCTTGGTCAAGAAAGCCACCGGCCTTTGGCGTCTGTGCATAGATTTTTCAGATTTGAATCAAGCGTGCCCGAAAGATA